CATAATAGGAGGAAATGAACAGAGTACCTTCTTGAGTTGAGTTTTGCTGGAGTCTCATGGAATCAACTTTTGGAACTAGAGGCAGTAAAGCAAACTACTTCTTTAGGAGTCAGTAGCAAATGAAAACTAGTGCTTCATTTACAGAATAAAGGACGGCCAGAAGGTAGAGACTGTGGCCTGAAGATAAAAGCGGCCCACAACCCTTAGTTTTGTCAGAAGAGAGCAAATGCTCAAAATTCTGTGCGCTCATTTCTCTCATGACTTAACAACAGTGTATCTTTAGTGCCATGTTTTCCCTTGGCTCCTGTGTGGACAGGATAGATGTGTGAAAATTGAGGAAGTGTTTTCTACAGGTCATTGAGATTTTCTTTATCAGGAGCTTATGGTCCTTAATACCTGACTGGGTCCTACTGCCCTCCTATTACATGGTTCTTGAAAAATCTTACATGCCTGTTTGCACTTATAGTATTTGTTCTCACTTGGAGATATTTTGCCATCCTCATTCAACAAATAGCTTAATGGGATTTTAGGAAAAATAGGGAATTTTTTTTAATTTTTATTTTTTATTTTATTTTTTTTTTAGTGTTTCAGAGCACCATTTTCAACCTTGAGTTAAAAACTGAGGATTGGGGGACACCTGGGTGGCTCGGTTGGTTAAGCAGCTGCCTTCGGCTCAGGTCATGATCCCAGCGTCCTGGGATCAAGTCCCACATCGGGCTCCTTGTTCATCGGGGAACCTGCTTCTCCCTCTGCCTCTGCCTGCCATTCTGTCTGCCTGTGCTCGCTCTCTCTCCCTCTCTCTCTCTCTGACAGATAAATAAATAAAATCTAAAAAAAAAAAAAACAACAAAAAAAAAAACACTGAGGATTGGAAGCAGAAAAATGAAATATGACACGACTAAACCCATTGGATACTGTGGCCAGGTCATTGCTGTGGCCAAAATGCTCTGTCTCACGTTGATCAGAGCACTGATTTTAATTGCCCAGAGACTTTTTAATTAGGAAAGCTCTTCAAGTCTTTGTGCTCAAAACTGCCTTTTCTCCATCTGTATTTGTCAAGGAAAATGGATTCTTAGAATTTCAGATGATTTCTTTGTATGACTAGATCCATGGATAAAAAGGCAGGATGATAATTTTTCAGAGACTGATTTTTCATAGGACCTCAAGTTGGTGAACTGCAATTTTGCTAGTTTCCTTGAAGAGATTCTCTGGTTAAGTCATTTTGTTTTTTATGTGATCTTCAAAAGACGTTGATTTCTGAATGTGTGTCTAGCCCTGGAATTCTATGATCGCAGTTTAGGAAATATCAATCTCTAAGAAGGGGGAGGGGAGGAGTGGATTTGAGAGGGTAGTTTTTATGAAGATGAATAGGCAAATTCAAAGTTAATCTATATTCAGTATGCTGACAGTCATGAAAATATATCAAATATGTCTGTTGTAAATGCATATTTTACTTGCATTCCAAGCAGATTCACATTCAGAACAGGATACAAAGTGTTTGCACCTGAAAAATATCTAGCCCTGTTGATGCAAGTTATACTAGGTGGAGTATAATGTTCAGAGAAATGAGTGATTTGTACAGGCAAGTAAATTCAGAATCACATTGTAGCCAGGCACCACTGTAATTTTACCTTGTGACCTATCTAGTGGCTCATAATTATTTTCTTCCAAGGCCTCCTTGTCATTTGACCAAACTCCTCAGGTACCCTTTAATTTCTTATAATTTCATCCTCATTCATCCCCCATTAAGTGTTTCTTGAACATTTGGCTGAAACACATGAAAGAAGCAGCATTCACAGTATCCCAAAGTTCCTGTTATTATCCTTCTTGCTCTAGCTACATTTCCAGAAAGCTTAGAAGTACTTTCTTCTTGAACTATACCTTTTAGCATCTCTCTCCTTCTCTATTCTCCCTGCCCATCCTGAATTTTTTGCTTCCTGTCAAGTGTAATTTTTCTACTCTTCAGCTCTGAATGATCCTATCTGGGGAACTTGAGTTAATTTAAGCCCAAATAGTATCAAACAGTTCTGAGGAAACCTGAGTTTTAGATTTTCCTGTTACCTCAGTAACACAAGGCATAAAATGGGTGTAAACTGACTAATTTACATGTCCCAGTAGGTATTTACCTTCTCAGACATTCTGAAAGACACAGCAACCTAAGGTATTAGATGAAGCACTAATGTAAATTACATCCATATGAAATATGCAATACCGCCCTGTGAGACCATGTTCAGGTACCTACAGTCCCCGAGGACGGACATTTTTGTGTTTCTTTTTGTTCACTGATGCATCCGCAGTGCCCAAAAGAGTTCCTGGCATATATAGTAAGTGCTCTACCCATGTATGCAATGAAGTACAGCCTACTTCCTAAGCGCAGAATTAAGTACAGTCTATTCTGGGGCACCTGGGAGGCTCAGTCCTTAAGCGTCTGCTCTCGGCTCGGGTTGTGATCCCAGAGTCCTAGGATCGAGTACCCCATTTGAGCCCTCCATGTCTTCCTGCTAGGCGGGAAGGCTGCTTCTCCCTCTCCCACTCCCCCTGCTTGTGTTCCCTCTCTCCCAGTGTCTCTTTCTAATAAATAAATAAATTTTTTAAAAAAGTACAGTCTATTCTATTAAAGGCCTGTTTCTGTAATGAGAATATAGGTAACGCAAATGAACTCATTGATATATAGGGAAAGGATATTCATAAAATGGGACGGTTGTATTGGTTCACGAGCAATTGTTCCTGGCACTTTAGTATTTTGCATCCACAAGTATTGGCAGTTCCAAGCAAAACACAGCAGACCGCTGCTCGTGGAGAATATACAGTGCTGTGCCCACGCCCATCCACCCCACGTTCTTTCTCTTGGAGTCAGCTGGCCATGAGTTCTAACTTGGAAGGGTTTATTGTGAGGGGGGAATTCACCTCTTATACTTGTACATTTTGTGCTTATCTTCCAAACCCAACAGCCTCCATCCAACAACTCTCCTTCCAGTCCCTTCATCAGTGATTGCCATCTTTTTTTTTTTAAAGGTAAAAGTCCTATATTTATATTTACTGTAATATTAGGAATTTAACATGGCTCATAAACTCTGCTAGTATGGTTTTTGGAATGGTTACTGTTTTTGTTAGTGTTCTAGTTGCAATGTTACATAGATTTGGAGTTGTTTGGGGGCACCTGGGTGGCTCAGTGGGTTGAGGGTGCGAGTGATGGTTTTGGGTGAGGTCATGATCTCAGGATGGTGACGCTGAGCCCCAGGTCTGGCTCCAAGATCAGCGGGGAGTCTGCTTGAGATTCTCCTCCTCTGCCCTATCCCCTACTAGTGCACATGCACACACTCTCTCTAAAATAAATCTTTAAAAAAAGATTTGGAATCCTTTGTTGCTAAGCCTATTTTCCCCATAAGCCTTGTTATTTCTAGTGTATGATTTCACAAAATGGGAAAAACACATACATCCTTTTATAGAAGAAATGTTGTACTACAAACTTCTTTTCAATGAAGATAAGTAGGATTTGGCTGTGGGAGAAGATAAGAGAGAGCATTCCAATTCTGGCAAAAGCATCATCAACTCCCGAGTGGATACAGGATGGAACCTTCTGGGAGGAGGGGAGGAGTCTCGGCTGGCAAGCCAGGCTCTGAGGAGTGGGTAAGTGGGTGGTTTTGAACAGAAGAGTTTTAAATTCAGAATTTTCTGTGGTAAAGTGCCTCCCAGAGCTTTTAGAACAGGAAGTGGCCTGCCTGAGCCTTGTTCTAGAATCATTACCCAGTAGGCATGTGCAGATGGACCCCCGTGCAAGGAATGGGGGAGAGAGCACTGGAACCATTAAGTACCCAAACAGCGAAAATCCGGAAGGTGGCATTGGACTTGGAAAGGACAGAATCCGGAAAGTGGCATTGGACTTGGAAAGGACGGGAGGGACAACTGGGAAGACCTTAAAATGAATTATTAGTAAGACTGGCTATGGCAATGGAAGAAGCTGGGGAATTGAACCGTAGGGTCTGTGTTCAAGCAACCAGTGGAAAAAGTTTTCCCAGACATGAGACAGAGAAGCTGGGGACATGGGCAGGTCGGACAAGAAAAAAAAAAGACAAGAAGGATATGCCTTTTCAGAGTGTCGGCTAAAGTGCCTTAGGAATTCATCCTTAGACTGTATTTTGACAGAAGAGGATGGTTCAAAACCTTAACTAATCTATTTACGAATATTTGTGACTGCTTGCAGTTTCCTCACCTAAAGAATCACTGGGCAAAAAAACTTATGCCTGGAGCCCTCCTCTCCGGGAGAAGAAGGTGAGGATGGGGATCCGGCAGTCCCCAAACCCACCCTCCAGCTTAGGATTCCGGGGGCTGGCGGGACGGCCGTTTTCCCGTTCTGGCCCGGGCCTGGGGAGCTGCTTCGGGAGCTCCAGGGCTCGCGCTCCGCGGAAGGAGTCCGGCCTATCATCCCCGACTCCGACTTCGCCGCTCACTGCCTGGGCCGTGTGCATTCTGAGCGCTCCTGAGTTGCCCGAAACTGCCCCCCAAGGTTCCCCGGAGAGGGCCGGGGGGGATCTCCGTAAGATTCCAGGAGGCGCCGCCGCCGGGCGGGTGCAGTGACCCGCTCCCAGGCCCCCGGGCCTCCGCCCCTCCTCCCGGGGATCCCCTTTCGCCAACAGCCTCGCGGGCCCCGCAGGACACTCCCCTCCGGAGGCCGGGCCTCGTTGTCCCGCCACCGCCCCCGCCTCGCCCCCAGCCGCCCGGCCCCGCCCCGCGCTAGGCGCCGGGAGAGCCCCGGCCCCGACCCCTCCCCCTGAACGCCCGGCCCGAGAGCGGGACGGGGGCGGCGATGGTGACTGGGCAGCGGCTCCGGGCCGGGTGCTGGGCAGGGAGGCTCCGCGGCTTCTTTCTCTCTCTGCTCCCGCCCCTCTCTCTCCTCCTTCCTTGATAGCCCCGCCGGCGGCCGCCGAGGTCGGCGCTCTCGCCTCGTCTCCTCCCCCAGCTGGGTACCCTCTCCTCTCCCCTCCCTTGCCCCCTCCTCTCGCCGCCGCCTCCTCCTCCTTGCCCGAGCGGCTAGCTGCGAGGAGGCGTAACGGAAAGCCTCGGCGTGGGGAAGGCTGCGAGCTCGGAGCCAGAGACGCGGAGCCGGGGCCGGGTGAGTTGGAGTCGCCGGGCCCCCTGCGCGCTGCGGGAGGGAGAGCCCGCAGCCCCAGCCAGGTGGGGCGGGCGGCGCCGGAGGGGAGCACCCCGCCCCGGCGCTGGCGGCGGTTGGAGCGGGAACCTGGTTCCCGCGCCCCGTAGCCCACGGGGAGGGAAAAGGACAGTCTCCGGGACCGGGACGGGTGTCGGATGCTGGGCATGGAAGGGAGCCGCTGCTTCGGCTCTCATCGCCGCGGCCGCCGGCAGCAGAAATGGAAAAATTGTTCCTGGAACGGCAATTCGCCGGGAAGCCGGCGCGAGCCTAGCTCTCCCGCCGCCACTGGCGGGCTCCGACCGGCGGTTCCCGCGGGCACCGTGGCGCGCGGATTTGGGCGCAGCCGGGCGCCGAGCTCCGCGCACTTGGTACGGCGCCTCGGGAGCCTCGCGATGGTCGCCCCCATGGGGCTTGGTGTGTGGCGTTGGGTCACGCCGGCCACAGACGTTAGCTGCTTTTCAAATCTGGACTGCATTTTTGTGGGCAGCGCAGTGATTTGGGGTGCGGGCTGGAGGAGGTGGGCGTGGAGCGGGGAAGACCACATCTGGGATGGATGGTTGAGCCCATGGGATGGCGTCAAGGGCTGGGGAAGACTCTCTGTGTTTCTGGATGTTTTTAGGCACAAAGATCCCCTCATCCCGTTTTCCCCCCATCCATTTAGCGGTCTAGTGTTCTTTAAACTGAAAAAAGCAAAAGGATTTTCCTTCATTCCGTTTAACTTTTCTCTTAATCTAGAGGGGTCCTGAGTTTCAGGAGAGTCCTTCAGCCGTTTCAGTGCGAGTAAATGAGAGTAAAGACCAAGTCTCATCCCCCACCCCCATCTTCACCAACCCCCACCTCGGGCCATTTCCTGTATTTCCCGTTTTCTCCGTGGTTGTGTGCGTAGTTGTAGGTTGCCATCAGTGACCCACATGTAAAACTACAACTTCTTTTTGCAATCGCAAAGTAGCCCGTGTAGACCAGTGTGTTTTTGAGCCACAAGGGGGAGAGGGATGAGTAGGAGGGGGGGAGGGGAGCGGTTAGACTCTCCTCCCAGAGAGTTAAACCTGAGTAATGAGTTCGAAGGACCGTTTATCATGCGCGCGTTCCTTTTCCTACACTCACTCGCTTGAGAGCTCCACCCCCAGCAGGTTTAAGCGAGGATGGGTGCTAATTTCTTTGGCGTTGCCCTTTCCTGGGTGTTTCTGATTCTTTGCTCCTGGTCTTTTTAAAAGCTTTTCTTTTCAAATTGAAGAGATAGGGAACACATGCCAGTGGGAAGATAAAATGTTTTAGAGGAAAGAAAGAAAGTCCAAGACTCTCATTTCTTTGTGCTATCCTACGGTGACAGGTTCGTTATTAATCTATGTCAGGAATCTGATGCTGATGAAATATTTGAGGGGTTTGAAGTAAGACCACTATTACCGTATGATAATATTTTTTCTAAGTGGTCACACATAGAGCAGGTAGTGTGGCTGGTTGTGGTTTGCAAAGGGTGCAGCAAACATTTTAGGCCAGAGGGAAGACATGGTATGTTGCAGGGGATGATAGGGGCGGGGAGGGAGAATCATTTGTCTTTGGAGCAGTCCAATTAAGAAGAATAATTACTCTGCAAATGAACATTCTCAAATGTAATTTGAATCATGGTACGTGAACTAGTCATTTGTCTTTAGGAAGGAAAAAGGATCTTTGTAGATGAGAGCAAAGCAGTGCCTTCTGGAAAAAGGAATGTATACTGTTCATCGATGTAGATGGGCTCAGAATTGATGGCACCTGCCTACAAAGATGTGTGGACTCGTGAATTAAAGAGAGTTCACTGCATATAGGGGACAGGGCAGGAAGGAAAATTCCATAGTGGAAGACAGAAAAACAACGTATGGAAAAGTACATAGTCTTTTTTAATGAACATTTTGTACAGCTTCTCAACTTCTTTATTGCAAAGAATTGACAAGATAGGCAAAAATATAAAGACCCAGATTGGCACTGTTGAGTTCCCAGAGATCCTACTTACTATCTGAACTTTGGACAAGTTATTTAATTTCTCTCAGCCTCGGTTTCTGTATCTATAAATTGGTGGTAATGAGAGTTCAAGTCGAAGACTAATCTTGAAGATTAACCAGGATTACTTTTGTATAGAGCTTGGGGTGATGTCTTGTGCTGAGTGCTCAGAAAATGTTAATGTTGGTTGTCAACTATTTCAAATGCCCTGGAAAAAGCAGTGCCATGCAAAGTGTCGGAATGTATACCTGAAAGTGAGCTGTGGTTGCTTAAGACAGACCCTGAGTTGAGGCTGACCCCCTGCCCTCTGGCAGCCCACAGACAGAAACACTTGATCTTTCTAGAATATACACGCTGCATCCTTTTGGCCCATTCTGGTCAGCCTTCTCTGGGACTCCAGCCCTAGGGAGTGTGTGGTAGAAGTTCCATGTGGCTCCGAGGGCAAGAGCACAGATGGGTTGCAATTCCAGGCCTCACTGACCCTCTGTGGCAGGTTCTCAGGTTTCCAGTCCCATGAAAGTAAATATGCAAATTTTGTTTGAGGTGGGGAAGAAAACCTTAGTGGTGGACAAAAGTGCATACTTCTTGGGGAATCTTAAAAGCAACATTTTACTCAATGCTTTACTGCTCTTGGAAAGCTACAAGCAGTAAGTAAATATCTAATTTCTAGTATTTTTTCCAAAAAGCAATTTTAAAGTCCGCTTTGGGGTTAATGATACACTGCCCAGTTTTTATTAAGGTTGTAACTAACACAAAGTGAACAAAAGGCATTCTTAGCAAAACACTTTCTTGAGCAGGGGAATGAGCTGTGTGTCACTCTTCTAATTGAGGAGGACTGCCTCTTTGCTTATTTATCCATTCTTTTATCCTGTCATTCAGCAAATACTTATGAAGCCTGTTCCATGGGGCGGTCTCTGTTCTGGCCTCTGGTTAACACAGCAAGAACCAAGAGGAGGCCTTGTCTCTCATAGAGTACACATTCTAGTTGGGGAAGCAAACTCTGTGTGCACAGGACTTCCATAAACCCAGGAAACTCCTTTTTTCTTTCTTTCCTTTTTTTTTTTTTCTCCTTTTTTAAAATTTATTTAGAAGAGCTTGTGCTAGGAGAGCAGAGAGCTGGCTGGGTGTGCTTCCCTCCCACAAGCCCGCCTGCTTAGAGGGAGTGATTGGTCTGTGGATAGCGGTGATAGGGGCAGCCAATCCTGTGGATTCTCTGTAGGAATAAGGGGGAACTGATTTATAAAAGTCTGTGTCCGGTTTGAATAGTGGGTGAGTAGAACCAACAGCCACATGCCATGAAAACAAATACTTTTTTCTCAGAGGTGAGATTTCTCAGCCTTAGGGAGGCAAAGAAGGAATTACAGGTCAGTATTCATCATCAGCTTATAAAACCCAGATGTGTCCAGGGAAGAATCTGGTGTGGCACTTAAAAAACTTCTCTTGCTCTCTCCTGCTCTCTCGCTGTGTAAGGCATGAATGAAGGAATACAGAAAAGTGGATACTTGGTTCCTTGTGCACCTTCCAGGTTTTCTTTTTTTCATCACTTTTAAAATAACATTAATACATGATGCAATGATCGCTTCTCGGCCTTTTGGCTGAGTGTAATACATGATGCAATAATAATTGGTTGTTTGGGGTCTAGGAGGCTTTCAAAGGTGTGAGATAGTCAGGGCTCTGATAGCAGTTGTGTGGACTGGAGGCAATGTTGTATAGGGAAGACCCTGAGGGTACTGGGGTTGAGTGCAGAGCTGAGGAGTCTGAACCTCATCTCCAAAGCTGGTTGAACGGTGGAGAATTTGCAGCGGGTAATTGACTTGCTTTATTGTGCTTTAGAAGAACTTGGTGGCTGTGATGTGGGCTGGGTGACAAGGAGACCAGAATGGGGACCGAAGATGAGTTAGGAGGCTAGTGCAGGAATCCATGAGGGATTTGGAGAAGGAGAAGGGGAGAGGAGGGAGGAGGCCAGGAGAGACGGGTCACCCTTCCTTGGTCATCTTTTAGGTGTGGGCACTTAGTGAGACTGACCATTTGCTGAGGTAAGCAGCTGTGGACCCTCAGTCTGAGGAGCCAGTGAGGACTAATGAGCTCAGCTGAACTCCATACTGAACTGTGAGCCTTCCATGGGGAGATGCCCAGCAGAGAGCTGGAGACACAAGCAGGAAGAGAGGTCTGGAGCTAGAGATGAAAGAGGGAGTTGTTTTTATAATAATGGCAAGTGGTTGCCTGGTTGGTGGAGATTTATTAAATAGTGCTCCGGGTGACAGTAATTGGTGTCCTTATAACTGAATTTGTCCCTTTTATCCTTTCAGCAGGCCTAACTGGGGATAGTCAAGACCTTGGCCTTAAATGACCAGTCTCTTACTGGTGTTATTTTACATACATGGTAGATCTGTTTGTTATTTTGACCTGAAATAATTAAGAGGAATATATGTAGAATGGCTATGAACATATTTAATAGCTAGGATGTATAACTGGTAAAATTGATTACCCCCCCTCCCCCAGCACACACACACCCCCCAAAATTCCTATGTGGAAACCCTGGTCTCTAGTGTGGTAGTATTTAGAGGTGAGGCCTTTAGGAGGTGATTAGGTTTGGATGAGTCATGTGGGTGGAGTTCCTTAGGAGGATTAGTGTCCTCAGGAGGTGAGAAATCGAGACCAAAGCACCTGTGAGCTCCCTCTCCACCACAGAGAGAAGGCTGCCATTTGCAAGCCTGGAACAGGAACCAAACCTGACAGTGCCTTGATTTTGGACTCACAACCTCCAGAACAGTGAGAAAGAAATGCTGCTGAGGTCACCCAGTCTATGGTATTTTGTTATTGCAGCTCCAACCGACTATTACACAGGTGTGTGTTGTATTTCAGAAAATGCAAGATGACCTTTATTTGCTGAGAAAGTAGTTTTGTGTGCATCTAGAAAATACCAAATACAGTTAAAGAGGTATGTCATCTGCACGTTTTCTTAGTTAAACCGTAATACCCTT